TCAGTTCATACAAACCACCATGCAATCCATAAATCTCCTCTCAAGTTTTTATGAAATTGTCTGCTGCGGCCATCAACAATTTGTCTTTCAAATGTCATCAATGTTTTAACTTCAGGGCCTGAAAACAAAAATCTAAAATCTAACTGCATTACTAGATGTCACAAGAAGGTAGAACTATAATCTAATTGTGTAACTAGTTTCCATAAGAAGGTAGAACTTTGTTCCATTCTTAAGAGTTCTACCACTAAAGTCAAGCTCAAAGTGTTCCTACTGACTTTACTTGTTGGCTGTAAAGGTTGATGGAAAAGCCTGAGCAAAGAAACACTATACAAAATAGGGTGTGAGTTTATCTTTTCCTTCATTGACTCTAGCATTTTTGGATTAGCAGAACAAGCTGGTATTGAAAACCCCTGAGGCCTGTCTGGCATTACCGCAAATATAAAAGGTTGTGCAGGAAACAGCAGTATCAAGCCCACAAAAGAAGAGATAAAGAGAGGATGACTGCGATGACATTTAGGGATTTTTTTCCACATCCCCGTGTCAGATCTTGGCCAGACCCGTTGCATGTTAACTAATGCTTGCGGAAAACAAGCACCTTGAAAATGTGTGAACATCTGACTCACGATTTAGCTGCATTTGATACATCACAAACCTCAGAAAGACAAATCTCACCAACCTCCGGAAAAACAGGTTTGTGAGATTTTCTTTGCGGGTCAACAGAAGCGTGAACCCAGATAAAATGCCTCAGCAGGTTCAATCCAAAACACGAGTCGTGAGCTTCAGTGATCACATTTCACTAACATCATCCTACCGAAACTGTCCCTTTGGGAGTCTGGCAGACGATTACAACATTCATTACTCCATAACTAACCAAATAAATAAATAACTAAGCCCTCAGATAACTGATTTACATTCAACACGTGGGAAATCATGCCCTGGCCTTGTGTATGGTTTGCTTTTGGAGGCCAGGGGGGACGTGGGGAAAATAATGTCAAACACAAAGTGTCCTTCGACCCAGTTGTATCTCTTCGACCCAGTTCTATCTCTTAGTGGTATTTGTTGTGTGTGGTCGTAATTACTGTGTTGGCATCAATGGTGCTCACGCGCTCTGGCTGAGGAAGTTAAATGGCCTGTCATGCACTATTTGCCAGTTCACATGCTTACAAATGCTGAATAGATACAGAAATCTATTAAACCGTTTCTTTCTGATAACATACCGGAGACATGCGGTATTGTTACCAAATGGTCGTTAACTCAGTGTCTATAGAGTGAATGCTAATTTGTTGTACGTTCTCCACATCCAAGTTTGTACCTATTTAATGTTTAAAATTATTCCAACCAGGTATGTTGTTGAGCCTTGTTGTGGACCATGCGAGCCTTTTAGCATTGAAAACATTAAAAAGGGGAATTGGGGTGTGTGAGTCTTGTAGCCTCTGAAACATTAGAACGAGGAATTGGGGTGTGTGAGTCTTGTAGCCTCTGAAACATTAGAACGAGGAATTGGGGTGTGTGAGTCTTGTAGCCTCTGAAACATTAGAACGAGGAATTGGGGTGTGTGAGTCTTGTAGCCTCTGAAACATTACGAAGAGGAATTGGGGCGTGTGTGTCTTGTAGCCTCTGAAACATTACGAAGAGGAATTGGGGCGTGTGAGTCTTGTAGCATGTTAGCTTTATAGCCTCTGCAAAATACTTACCACTATTTACCAACCATATACTGGTCAAAAAATGAATGAACATGAACAGAATCAAATCTGAGCATTTAACAAAACTAACCCATGTTTCTAATATGGCTTTAGCCGCTTTACCCAGCAGCAGTCTGTTTCCTTAACAACAAAGTTGAATATTATAATATGCCAAGAGAATCCTTTCCCCACTACTCCTTTCACATGTGCACAAATGTCCTAAATAACAGACAGTCATTGCAGTGTAGGGCCGGCAGCATGCACGTAGGGAAACGGTTTCAGTGACAAACCAAAATGCTATGACTCCTCACACGTTTCCTTCTGTAAGAGTTGAAATAAACCAACATCAAATAAACTAACATTACACGCCATCATCACATTATATTATACATGCAGTACCAACTATATATATACTGCAGTAACAGCGTGTGCATCACATAACCCGGCAACCTCTGTTCATGTCGGGTTACTAACATTGAATGTCAAAAAAACACAGACACAGACTTTCTTTCTAACCCTATGATAACTACGCCAGGGACTGTGCAATTACAGTTGTATGTGATTCAAACATCAGACTTTCACACAGCCAACACAGGCTTGTCTGCATTATCCACTTAGTTGCCTTACAACTGATTATAGTTATTAACCAAGAGAAAAATGCTTTTAATTGCTTATCTTACTACCTCTGCTTTCAACAACCTACGGTAGCTTTACGGAACAATTGGCACACGTAAAAAGATGTAACGTTTGGGAAAGAGATATATCTTCCTTGACTAATATGCCCTTGGCCGTTAAACCTCTCCCCTCACTGGCAAAGCTTCGTTAGCTCGACAAAAATGTCGACATCAAGCGACCAGAGTATAATCGCCCTGGCAGTTGATGTTCTACCTTGTCATACTCTTATCTGCAATCGAGCACAATCAGAACTGAGACCATGTCAGGCAAACATGATATTCCCGGCCCCTCGCTACTGCATTGCTCCATTCGGTTGAAGATGAAGGATTCAAGTGCTATAAATAAAACCTAGGAAAACAAAAGCTATTAACAGAACATTGTTATTACCGTACACTACATTTAAGACGCCCCTGAGAGAGTATGTTTCAGGTTATATTACTTTAGGAAGCAGGAAAGTATTTCAATCGCAAGGTTCGCTTACTACAATTACCTGTGCACACAAAATGAACGTCCCTGATGAACTAAACGTCTACTTTTTTCTAACGAATATTCATCTTGCGTCCGAAACTTCCCACTCACCAGTGCTCTGCCAACCTGTTGCTCGAGGTCAGACAAGCCAAATTGCTAGACAGCATTTTCGACACAGTTATTTTTACACGGTGAACCGAGTTAAGCCTGAGGCCGTGACACCAGCACGCACAAAGGGCAGTGTCAGCATTAGGAAGCAGACCAACAGAACCAGCATGTCAACACAGCTTAATATGTAAGCATCAAAGACAGTCCCACTGACAGCTCCAACGTACCAGCAGGGCCCCATTCTGCCACTTACTGTGCATGTGTTCACGTGTTAGCTGACAAGATGAACAATTTGAGGGGTCCTGCAGCTTGCAGGCCTTCAGTTTAAACAGGCTTCCATATTAGCCAGGCGCTTGAATGGCTGTCCTCAGAACAGAAGTACGTCTCGACATATGCGTGCGCTACTGGGCACCTGTCTTAGAAAGGTGATCTGATGCATTATAGAGGAGCGCTGTTTGTCACATGGCAGAGGGCTGAACATGGCATTGGCAGAGGAGAGAGGTGTTTATGCAAGGGTGCTTTCTGTCTTTGAAACATGTCGGAACAACGCAAAATCAACCGTAACTCGAATTAGAAAAATGGCTGACAAGACGGGACTCTACAGACTTTCCATACAACGCATGACTCCGGATACACAACGTGATAAGGTTACGCGGTGTCAAAATCTTAAGCCACAAGCCAGCTCAACCGGAACAAACCGGCAGTTCAAATGACAGGATAATGTTACAGTCACACTATGCAATGTGTGTCTCATAACCAGTGGGCAGACCACTGAGTAAACCGGAAATAAAATCAGCTTATTATATATGGCACACTGTTAGGCCAAGATAATTCCCTTTCAAACTCTGACTATAAGTACATCAATTTTCAATGGATGGGTCAAGGAGTCACATTTGACGGTATATTATTGCATTGGCATCTAGAGTATGTTATGGATGGCAGGTATAAAGTCCAACCAGTAGCAGTAGGTTGGTGTTACTCATCCACACAGAGTCTTCCAAACCAGAGCTTTAAACCGCGGCGAGCCTGGCCAGATGAGCCGGAACGGGTGGACTTTCTGCCAGCTCACCGGACGGCTCGTCACTCAAATGGCAGCTGGGACACGAGGGAGTTCAGGATTAAGATCCGGAGAAATGTCATCCATGACCAGGTGCCCTACAGTGTGTCACGACCATCAGACAAAAGGCCAGGAAGCTATTTAACTCAACTCTGGAAGAATGGAAGATTAGGGCTTACATAACTGTAACCGTACCCTATATCGGCTCCTCTGGTTTCCCCAAGCCGTCAGAAACTGAATATCATCTCTAAGAACCTGCATATTTCTTGGCCAGCATTTTTAGGTCTGCATCTTAGACAGTGGCCGAGTTTGTCATCGTCTATGTACACAAAGCAGTTACTGGTCAGATGTTTCCTCACGTGGTCTCGTGGTATTCTGTCAATTTTTTAAAGACTTTTAACAAAATATAATTACAGTACAGTGCCGTCCTCTAATCTCTGAGGACAATCAGATCAACGAGACAGACTCCACATTCACTTGACACAACTGGCATACATACCGTTCTTTCGACTGTCTCTAATTAGCTCATAACCCTCACTGGAACTGTCACAAACCTGCATTGAAAACCACCAAGCTATTCCCACTGCCCTTTCCCATAAGCTATTAGCTCCCCACTGAATTCTCCAATGCTTCCCTCTCAAATAACTCAAATAACTCTGTGAAATTAAAACAATACTCATTTCAAACTCACTGTTTGGCTTCCGGCTCACTGGAGATTGACTTTGTTTAGTGGTTTTTACAAAGGAGCTTTAGTCCTTTTAGTCAAGCGAAGAGAGAGAGAGTAAATGTCCAGGCCTAGTGGAGGTCAATCACCTCTGTCTGCTGAACTCTCATCACAGTAGAGGGATAGCGCACGAGTTTACTAATGCCACCGGCCAACACTGGTGTCATTCACTTACGAAATCATTTTGTTGTTAAAATGATGAGACACACCGGCATAGGAGAATACAGCATGGATATGTAATAATGACCAACATATGCACACATTATTTTTTTAACCTTTATTTAACCAGGTAGGCTGGGATTGAACCCTGGACTTCATACATACAAAACATGCACTCTAGCACTGAGCTACCAACTCCTCCATACATATATATATATTCAGAACATATTACAACATATTCAGAACATATTCAGAATATATGCAGAACATATGCATAACATATTCAGAACATATTCAAAACGTATTCAGGCACATCCATGTCCAGGCAGTGATCGAAATGTTGGATGCTGTGGAAATATAACAGTTCTGGCAGAAATGACAAAAGTTCCCAGCCATCATAACAAGGAAGCCGCAAAACAATTGCCGTGTCTGTTCATGCATTTGGCCTGGGTCTCGGGATGGCATGTAATCTCAAAGACATACAATCACATACTGTTTCTCATTGGTCTGGGGAGTGGCAAAAAGTCGAGCTGAGGACAAATAATGGGCTTTATCCATTTGTCTGAGCACATGATCCGCTGAGCACAGCTCTGCCAACACAGCCCAACACATTCATTACTGAGGGAAATTAACACTCAAACTGCGGGACCACCAATGTACTGCCATGTATACATTTTGTTTATTTTGTTATTTTCATGTTTACTTTGAACAGGACGTAGACTATTATCATTCGTTTTTCTTTTTCTACGTATCTTACTTGCAAAACTTATTACAGAGCTGTCCGTGCAACACAGACTACATAAACTAGGCAGTGTGCTGTCAATGAATATTATACATTGCCCCAACACTAGTACGACCTGAAAATAAAAGGCTATTTGGAGAATCATATAGGGATTCTCAACTGAAACTGTTGGTGTTGGTCCTCTTAAAATATATAAATGGGTACACCAATTATTTCTCAATAATACATTTAACGAACTTTCCTGCTCAAATTCCATGTTCAATGTTCTTATATTGTAACATTCATATTGTTATTTATACAAAGTTCCCGTGCAGATCATCTAGGGGAATTTAGGCGTGAACCCATACATTTTACTCTAGAGTACTCTAGAACATTCATTAACGTAGAACCAAGAGTGCAGTGACAGCGTCGACCGTTTTATTTTTAAGTAAGTATATAACAACTTAATTTTAAGGTGCTACACCATCACTAAAGAAGTTAAGAAATCCTCTTTGATTTGTCAAACCTTACTGGGAGCAGCAGGAAGCTCACTCCTCTGACATCCTGTATCTGACTGGGATTACCTCCTGTAGATGACTCACAGGCCACAGACATTTGAGTTGACAGAATAATCATCTAAACCTAGAAGTGGAAGGAGAGCTACTCCTCTTGGTGTTAAACACACTCTTTGATCATCGGAGTGTAGTAGCCTAATCTGCTACTATGTATATGTAAATTCTTACCAATTTTGAGACTTAGCCCAGAATTACTTAGAATGTACGCATACTCTATTTTGAGTAGCCTACCGCTTTTATGTTGCAAAAAGGTGTACTTCCACACTCAAAAAAAATGAATATCACACTTCAAAGCCAACCAAGGTTTCATATTGCATTCATTATGTTCTTAAAAAAAACAAGTGCCAATGATTATGAATATGAAATGTAGTCATAACAACGGCATTCTGAATTACTTTGGAAATGTCACGTAGATGTAGGTGGCGGAAGGATGGAGCCAGACAACCCACGGATATACTCTAGAGTCGTTTAATGCCGGACGGAAGAAACCCGTCCTATTATTCCACGCCACACAGGCAAAGTAGAGGATGCGACACAGCGCATAAAACAACCACTCCTCACACGGAGGTATAATAAACGAAGAGCCCGAGCTCACAACAAGACTCGGGCTGCACAATAATCACACGTAACATGTAACAATTCCACACAAAGACAACCAATACAAAGGGAGTTTATATAGACCTCTAATGAGGTAATGGACACCAGGTGAGTGATGACGAGACTGAACAAGGTGTGCAGGGAGGAGGAGCTTCGGTGACGACTAATAGGCCGGGGAGGACGACCGCCGAATACCGCCCGCAGGTGGAGCTGCCGCTTCTCCCGTAGGAGTCATGACAGTATCCCCCACCTGACGCGCGGCTCCGGCAGCGCGTCGACCCCGACCTCGGGGCCGACCCGGAGGACGAGGAGCTGGACGATCAGGGCGCCGACGATGGAACTCCCGTCGTAGTTCTGGGTCCAGAATATCCCTCGCCGGCACCCAACATCGCTCCTCCGGGCCATACCCCTCCCACTCCACCAGGTACTGGACGACCCCCGCCCGACGTCTGGAGTCGATGACGTTGTTCACCCTGTACGCCGGGCCCCCTCGATGTCCAGGGGGCGGGGGTCTCCAGCACCCTAGATCGCTGGAGGGGACCAGCCACCACCGGCCTGAGGAGAGAAACATGAAACGAGGGATTAATGCGATAGTCAGGTGGCAGCTGCAATCGATAAGTCACCTCGTTGATTCTCCCCAGGACTTTAAATGGCCCCACAAACCGCGGACCCAACTTCCGGCAGGGCAGGCGGACGGGAAGGTTCCGGGTCGAGAGCCAGACCCGATCCCCCGGGGTGTAAACGGGCGCGTCACTGCGCCTCCGGTCAGCGGCTGCCTTTTGGCGCTGTCCAGCGTGCTGAAGGTGAACGTGTGTGGCGTCCCACGTCACCTCAGCCCGCCTGAACCATTCATCCACTGCCGGTACCCCGGTGTCAGGCTGGCTCTGCTGCCACGGTGCCAGGACCGGCTGGTAACCTAGAACACACTGAAACGGTGTTAGCTGAGTGGAGGAGTGACGGAGTGAGTTCTGGGCATACTCTGCCCACGGCAGAAACTCCGCCCACTCCCCCGGCCGGTCCTGACAATAAGACCTTAGGAACCTCCCCAGATCCTGGTTAACCCTTTCCACCTGCCCATTAGCTTCGGGGTGGTACCCGGAGGTCAAACTGACCGAGACCCCCAAGCGCTTCATGAACGCCCTCCATACACTGGAAGTGAACTGGGGGCCTCGATCTGACACAATGTCCTCCGGAACCCCGTAGTGCCGGAAGACGTGTGTAAATAGGGCCTCGGCGGTCTGCAGGGCCGTAGGGAGACCTCCCAGAGGCAGGAAGCGGCAGGCCTTTGAAAACCGGTCCACGACGACCAGGACCGTAGTATAACCTTGAGAGAGAGGGAGGTCAGTCACAAAATCAATACTCAAATGAGACCATGGTCGCCGCGGAATGGGCAAAGGATGAAGCTTACCTGCCGGAAGGTGTCTAGGTGCCTTACACTGGGCACACACGGAACACGAAGACACGTACAACCTCACATCCTTAGCCAAACCAGGCCACCAATACTTATTGGTAAGGCAACGCACCGTCCGACCAATACCTGGGTGGCCCGATGACACCGATGTGTGGGCCCAGCAGATGAGACGGTCGCGAACATCCAGCGGTACGTAAACGCGCCCCTCCGGACACTGAGGAGGCGATGGTTCCACACGCAACGCACGCTGGATGTCCGCATCTACCTCCCACATCACCGGCGCCACTATACAAGAAGCAGGAAGAATAGGTGAGTTATCCACCTGCCTCTCATGTGTGTCATACAGTCTGGACAGCGCATCTGCCTTGACGTTTTTTGTACCCGGGATGTACGATAGGGTGAAATCGAACCGGGTAAAAAAAAGCGCCCACCTGGCCTGACGAGGGTTAAGCCTCCTCGCAGCCCGTATGTACTCCAGGTTACGGTGGTCAGTCCAGACTACAAACGGGTGTTTCGCTCCCTCGAGCCAGTGTCTCCACTCTGTCAGAGCTCTGACTACCGCTAACAGCTCCCTATCACCTACGTCATAGTTTTGTTCCGCCGCACTGAGCTTCCGCGAGTAGAACGCACAGGGACGTACTTTGGATGGTGTGCCCGAACGCTGAGACAGTACCGCACCTATCCCAACTTCCGATGCATCCACCTCCACTATAAACGGATGTGATGGATCAGGGTGAGCCAAAACCTGCGCAGATGTGAACAGCCTTTTCAACGTACTGAATGCGCAGTCCGTCTCGTTCGTCCAACGAATACGAGACGGCCCCCCCTTCAACAATGATGTAATGGGAGCTGCTACCCTGCCAAAATTCTTGATGAACCGGCGATAGAAGTTGGCGAATCCCATGAACCTCTGTACCGCCTTAACCGTGGTTGGAACGGGCCAATTACGCACGGCCGCCACGCGATCAACCTCCATCTCCACCCCCCCCGTGGTTATGTGGAACCCAAGAAAGGAGACTGCTCGCTGAAAAAACAGACATTTTTCCAATTTGGCATACAGGTCATGCGCCCTCAGTCGCTCCAGTACTCTGCGAACCAGGGAAACATGGTCAGCCCGGTCGTCCGAGTACACCAGGATGTCATCGATGTACACGAACACCCCGCGACCGATCATGTCACGAAAGATGTTGTTCACAAAGGACTGGAAAACCGACGGCGCATTCATCAGCCCGTATGGCATCACCAGGTATTCGTAATGACCTGAAGTGGTGCTGAATGCTGTTTTCCACTCATCTCCCTCTCGGATACGCACCAAATTGTATGCGCTCCTGAGATCTAACTTAGTGAAAAAGCGGGCCCCGTGCATTGACTCGATCACAGATGAAATCAGTGGGAGAGGGTACCGATAACGAACTGTGATGCTGTTCAGCGCCCGATAATCAATGCACGGTCGCAAACCACCATCCTTCTTTTTCACAAAGAAAAAACTCGAGGAGGCTGAGGAAGTGGAATGGCGGATTATCCCTGACTCAATGCCTCGGACACATACGTCTCCATCGCCTGTGTCTCTGCCTGAGACAGAGGATACACGTGACTATGTGGCGGTACAGAGCCTACCTGCAGGTCGATCGCGCAATCCCCGGACGATGAGGAGGTAATTTAGTGGCCAATTTCTTTGAAAATGTGTGTGCCAGATCAGAATACTCTGGGGAATACGCACAGAGGAGACACTGTCTGGACTCTCCACCGTCGTCGCACCGACGGAAACACCCATACACCTTCCCTGACACTCCCGTGCCCATCCCGTCAAGGTCCTCTGAGGCCATGAAAACTGTGGGTTGTGTCGAGACAGCCAAGGCATGCCCAACACTACGGGAAGGAAGGTGAATCAATA